TTCTGTAAGCCTTCACCTGAAGTACAATAAAAAAAATAAGATAAAATAAAATAAAAAAAAAGTTGTTTCAAATGCATAGCCAGGCTCACAAGAAAATAGAGGACATTCCCAGGACCAGAATGAAGAAGGATCTGGAAATCAGATGGTAAATTGACCCTAAAACTTGGTCTGCCCTCAGGAATACTTTCTGATCTCAGCAACCTAGAGATTTGGTACAATAACCTCACAGTGGCCATAAGCCCCTAAAAGTTTGGAATTTGGAATTAAGTTTCATGCCTAAAGCTGGATGTTTGAGTGAAAGGATGGGCTACGAGTTTAGGGTGTGTGTGTGTGTATGTGTGTGTGTTTCCGGAGAATTTATAATCGTAACCTCCCAGAGTGTCAAAGTTCACATCTATACTACTTTGAGTTCTATAGATCCCAAGCTTGTGAAAAGTGTTCACGTGCCTCAGGAATCTGCAACCCCAAAATCGTCTCTGACAGGTTGGTGCCTCAACCCAGGCCCCATAAGATTCCCACAGGTAAATGTGAGCTAAACATGAATTCACAATCCAAAATTACCAACACCAGGGAAAATTGTTACTCAGACTCCTTTGGTTGCTATACACAAAAAAAAGACCGTGTGTCTTTTGTGAAACACCAATAATCAGATAAGAAAGTCAGACCGTGTTAGCCATCTTTTCTTTGTTCTCTTCAAAGTTAACAGTAGTTATTAAGTAGCAGACGCATCAACAGTTCTCAAATACTATCATTTCTCTTATAACATGAAGTATGCTTCTAAAAACATCACTGCATTATGGGATTTTGGACCCATGAAAATAACAGGACTCATGGGGGAGATAGGTTCAGAACAGAACACAAAACTCTTCTGAATCTAATAAAACAATACACTAGGAAAATAAACTCAAGAAAAAATTCCGTCATTTTATCTATTAAATATATTGATTTATTAAATTCTTAATAAATAAATACTACAGAAAGTGTAGCACTTTACCTTGATATAAAAAAATAAATACATGAAGTTTCTTGGTGGACATGAAGATGATGTGGCTTGGAGTTACAGAGACGAGACGGAAGGAAGGACATTCTTAAGATCAAGTGTCACAACACCAGAGGTGGACGACTGTGACTCATTGTCTTGTTATTCCTTCTCTGCAGTGACTTAAAATAAAAATTCATCTTTTGTTGTTTTGTCCGGTTTCTCCTTGCATAAAAAAGCTGTTTTTGTGGCTCTGAATAAGACCAAACGCCATGAAAGTGCTATTTTGCTGCTCTCAGCATTGTAGCTGTCTCTTTAATCCATGGTACATGCTATTAATCCCTCTTAAAGAAAATGATGGCTCTCGTGGAATCTGTTCTCCTTTAGGGGTTTCTTTTTCCAAGTTGTTTTAGCTTCCTAGGGCTCTTGTACCAAAATACCACAACGTGGGTGGCTTATAAGAACAGAAACTTGTTGTCTCACAGTTACGGACGCTAGTAGTCCTTAATTCAAAAGTGTCTGCACGGCTGTGCTCTCTCTGAAAAGGAAGCTCCCTTTTTATCTCTCCCAGCTTCTGGTAGCCCCCAGATATTCCTTGACTTGCAGCTGCAGCATAATTCCATCTCTGCCTCTGTCATCACATGGCTATGTTCGGCTTTGTGTTTGTGTCTCTTCTGTTTTATAAGGACGCAGCTCAAATTGGATTAGGATCCACCCTACTCCCGAATAACCTCATGTTAATTTAACTGATAACATCTTCAAAGACTCTACTTCCAAACAAAGTTATGTTCACAGGTACCAGGGATTAGGACTTTAACATACCTCTTTGGAGGACATAATTCCATCCATAAGAAGCATGGTCTCTGATGAGGTTCACTGGTTTCCTTTAGACCCTTTGTTTTCACGCTGCCCATCTTCTCTCATCTCATCATAAGCTTCTCCTCAACACGTAAGGCTTTCCCCCTTCATTCAATACCTGAATTCTTACAGCCAGGACATACACGCATGCTGTATGAATTGTTCTTGTGAAGAGAGGCGCACACACTCAGGAGCTCAGTATACACTTGCATTGCACATGAGTAATCCAGGGTGAGAAAGAACATGAGGTGAGTGTGGTTTTTGTGGGTTCTTCCCTAGGTCACTACTGGCAACTGCGCAGCATCTTCTCACTCACACGATATCCCTTGGTGACACAAAATCTCATCCACTCGTGGAAAAGCATATTTAGAGTTAATATGATTTCACAGTTTAGGATTTTATTACCCTGTTTACCTACCATGTATGAACAAATTCACACATTACGTATGTGGACTAAAACAGAAGGCCTATACATGTATTTTTCAAATTTTCATGACATTGTCTTAGAAATTTAGTTTGGGACACAAATTGGACAGTGGAATCTTGAACAACAGGGAAAATGATTTTACTTGGAGGCTGGGACTAGAGGATAGGATAGAATGGGGTGTAGATGGTTTCCAGTAAAGTAATGTAATTAACAATAAGTCCAACCTATGACTCTAATGAGATCCTATGATGCCTCCAAGTGTTGCAACCCATTCTTGGAGTTGGGGGCTACATTAGTTTCTTAGGGCTGCCATAACAAATTACCACAAACTGGGTCCCTTAAAACAATAGAAATTTACTTTCTCACACTTTTGGAAGCTAAAAGTCTGAAATCAAGGTGTCAGCAAGTTTGCTTCCTTCTAGAAATTCTGAGGGAGAATCTGTTCCATGCCTCTTTCCTAGTTTCTGGTGGTAGCCAGCAATCCTTGGCATTCCTTGACTTGTAAACACATTATTCTGATCTCTGACTCCATCTTCACATGGCCCTTTCCCATGTGTGTCTGTGCCACTGTGCCTCAGTCTCCCCCTTCTTATAAAGACGTCAACCATTGGATTTAGGGCCCACTCTAATCCAGTATGACCTCACTTTAACTTGATTATGTATTTCCAGATAAGGTCACATTCACAGGTACCAGGAGTTAGGACTTGAACATATCTATTGGGTGACACAGTTCAACCCACTAAGAGGCTATTATATATGAATTATTAAAGAAATGCTTATATGGAGGGTTGAGAGGCCAGAATTTTATCTTACCTATCACTAAAGTGTTTATTTGAGGGGCAAGAAAGTTTACAATGATCAGAAATACTTCCTTTACCTTTCCTTCATAAGAACATATACTCATTCATTCCAGAAATAACATGATGATGGTTACATCATGAGGATCTCAAAATAAGCGCTGAGTTACATGCCAAGGTAAAAGCTGACCAAATATGCCCATGTGTTCTAGAGGCTTAGAGTCCAGTGTGGAAGAAGGAAATACAACTGCATTTCAGTGAGGTAACTGCCAATGGTGCAGATGACAAAAGATAAGATCTGTGCCCCTGATCCCAGGGAATCAGAGCTGGATCCAGGAATCCAGGCCATGCCAGCTCTACACCAGAGATGAGAACAAACGTTCACCAGAGGAAGCAAGGGAGTGACTGCAAACAGAGCTGAATTCTATGTCTTCCACACACAGGGACTCATGGCCAATGAACATCCCAGAGTTCCTCATAATAGAGCAGGGACAAAATAAATGTTAAACTGAAACATTTTTAAAGCTGGTGGTTCTATCAGCCATAAGCAAATCTCAACAGAGCACTCATAGGAATTCTGACTTGAGGCAAAATATATCCCATGCATCTAAGTGAGGAACAGCATTGTTAGAAAGAAGCAAATTCATGTTTCTGGAAGTGTAGTACATGGACTAGAAGCATACGCTTCTAGAGGAAATTTCTGGGAAATTTCAGAATTTGAAATATGAAATACAAATCCTCAGACCCCACCCTAGACCTACGAATGAGAAAATCAGGGTAAAGCCCAGAAATTTATGTTTTAACAAGCCCTCTAAGTGATTCTAATACTCAATAAGGTTTGAAACCACTGAGCTAATTAAAATTAGAGGACGACTGTCTCATTTTGCAAATAGAGTAGCCCTCTTAGGATGTTCTCTTGGACTTATATTTAGACAGCAGAGTTGGCTGTGTGTCAAGGAGGTGTCTCCTTTGTAGCCTTCCTCATAGAGGCGTGCAGGAGATGCCCGCATCCAGGCCATTCAAAAAGATATCAAGACGCTAAGTACAATTTAAGAAGAAAGGGGGTCGGAAAAGAAGTCCTGTGTTTTGTCCCACTTCTCATGCCAGAAAATCAGCATCTGTCTACTGTGGTCTTGTACAGCTTAGCCTCAGCCAATGCCTATTAGACAGTGAAGAGAGAAGGAAAGAGGAAGAGGAGAAAGGTTAAATTGTGGTGGACAGATTTCTCTACAAGTTGACAGAGACATAACAGAGGACTAAGGAGGAATAGGTAGGTCTGGAGTCCTCCTGATTCTCATGTGGCGTGTTGACCTTTCTATTTTCAGTGGAATGTCTGTCTAGTAAGCCAGTGTGAATATCATCTGGGAGGAGAAAGAGGCTGCCTCAGAAAAAATTGGAAAGACTACATTCTACATTCCATTGCACAGAACTATAACAGTAGAGTTATAGAGGATTTCATTTTACTTGGATCCACAATCAACGCCCATGGAAGCAGCAGTCAAGAAATCAAACAACGCAGTGCATTGGGCATATCTGCTGCAAAAGACCTCTTTAAAGTGTTAAAAAGCAAAAACATCACTCTAAGGAGTAAGGTGTGCCTGACCCAAGCCCTGGTGTTTTCAATTGCCTCATATGCATGCGAAAGCTGGACAGTGATTAAGGAAGACCGAAGAATTGATGCCTTTGAATTATGGTGTTGGTGAAGAATATTGAAGGTACTATGGACTGCCAGAAGAGCAAATAAATCTCTCTTGGAAGAAGTACAGCAAGAAAGCTCCCTAGAAGCCAGGATGGCAAGACTTCGTCTCACATATTTTGGACATGTTATCAGGAGGGACCAGTCCCTGGAGAAGGACATCATGCTTGGTAGAGTAAGGGTCATCGAAAAAGAGGAAGACCCTCAACAAGATGGATTGACACAGTGGCTGCGACAATGGACTCAAGCATAGTGACGACTGTGAGGATGGCACAGGACCAGGCACTGTTTTGTTCTGTTGTACATAGGGTCGCTATAAGTCAGAACCAACTTGATGGCACCTAACAACAACAACAACGTAACAGTAGAGTTAGCAAGGGCAAATGAAGTGGCAAGGATCAAAACCTACAAATTTGGAGAAAAACTTGAATATTTCTGGAGGGAGAGAAAACAAGCAATATCAGCTCACCAGATACTTTATTTCACTTTAATATTATATAAATAATTTGTGAGAGGACTTTACAAAGACCCAGTCAGTTGAACGTGGTTCATAGAACCAGAATAACTAAGCTTCCCAGGTGTCAAACAGAACCTGGGCATATGTGGCCTTTCTACCAAGCTATGTCTCTATAAATCATTACCATTTCTGGCAGATAAACTAAAGGGTCACATAAAAACTTAGTTGTTTTGATAGAATGAGAAATTGTCGGTAAGATTTCAATTTGATGGGAATTCTATCTGGTCTCTTCTGACTTCGTTTAGCCACACCATCACCCTTTACACACCAGTTTCTGTCAAGTTGATACCGACTCGTAGCGACCCAATAGGACAGAGTAGAGCTGCCCCATAGGGTTTTCAAGAAGTGGCTGATGGGTTTGAACCACTGACCTTTTGGTTAGCGGCCAAGCTCTTAACCGCTGCACCACCAGGGCTCCCATCCACACAGTAGTCTCTGTCAAATCTGGCCCTAACTCAATGCCTGCCTGAACAGAGATTAGATACAATCTAGATAAAGTCACTGATAAGAGGGGAGAGGAGACACATTCAACTCAGTGGAGATAGTTTCAAGAAACTCAGGTAGCCAAGAAACACCAATTCTTTGCTCATCCAGTCCCATCTCATTTTTCTTATCCCCCTTACCTCACCAGTCCAACCATTAGCACAAAGGAGCCCTAGGACAGCTGTCCCAAAGAAGCAACCAGTCACTTTCTGCCCTTCCAAAATATCCACCCTGAAGACAGTGGTAAGTAGGGAAGTAGTGCTGACCTCTGGAGTAGAAATATGAAAGATGTCCCAGACGTATCCCAGGTACTGCTGTTCAGTTCTACCACAGTATGCTTATAAATATGTTGGTTGAGAAATTTTCCTTGTAACTATTTTATCAAGGCTATCTTCAACCTAATCCATCTTCAGTTTGCCCCTCTTAATGAGGAAGGCCCCACTCGTCTGTCAGTTTCCCCACGCATCTGTCAGTTTGTCCTGCTGTGGTGGCTTGCGTGTTGCTGTGATACTGGAAGCTATGCTACCAGTATTTCAAATAGCAACAGGGTCACTCACAGTGGACAGGTTTCAGAGGAGCTTACAGACTAAGACAGACTAGGAAGAAGGACCTGGCAGTCTACTTCTGAAAAAAAATTAGCCAGTGAAAACCCCATGAATAGCAGCAGAACATTGTCTGATATAGTGCCGGAAGATGAGCCCCTAAGGTTGGAAGACACTCAGAATACGATGGATTGACACAGTGGCT